ATTCACTGAGTATTCGGTATCTCTGCAAGCACTGTACGGTATGTAGGGAACGTTCTGCTAGCTATGAAGAAATATATCACCTTAGCTAGCATGTTACCTGCTAGCTACTACCCCAGGTCCATGCATCACAGCAAATTTAGGGGCTAGCTAGGATTATCATCCTCCGCACTGCCTAAACGAATCAGAAAAGCCTCAGTACAGGATGTATGTGCCCCAGCTCAGACAATAGATAAGTAGCATAATAGACTTCAGATCCGTTGGATTCCCTGAGTCCAGCCCTTATTAAGTTTCTACACAGCAGGGAGAGGACATGAAGATACAGCAAAAGACAATGAAAGACTCATGAGAAGGGAGGGTAATCAGAGAAGGAGAAGAGAGTTCCTGAGCCTGACTTTAAAAGAGGGAAGGAAATAGAACAAGTAGGAAAGGAGTATACAGTCACTTAAAGAGAAATAAACAAATGGGAAATGAGTATTTCCTAAATAGACTTCCATACTTGGGGAAGAGCATCTATGTAGGGAATAATTAGAAAAAAATGCTAAAGTAGGAAACAGATGGTGATTCCCCAAAGGCTTTGAAGCAGAGAAGTTTGATTTAAAAGTGGAAACTCAGTGGAAAGGAAAATCTGATTAAAAGAAGTGTTTAAAATGTTTCAGTGTATGACTGTAAAATAGATATTTCGGTAGCAAGTATATAGAGAGACACTGAAAAAAAAAAACAATCTAAATTGACTTTAGTCCTTCCAGCTCAAAAACAGTGTACCATTACATTCCCCTCCTCTTTCAAAACGGAGGCAAGCTTGTGCTCTGCGTTTGTGGATATGAGATGCCATATACTTTTCTTTTCTTCCTACAGGATATGCTTTCCTTTATTAATCAAAAAGGGCCACTCACAGAAGGCGTCTTCCGCAAATCAGCCAATATAAAATCCTGCAGAGTCCTAAAGAAAAAACTAAATTCTGGGGTCAAAGTGAACCCGTACAGCGAATCTGTTCATGTGGTCGCATCCGTCTTCAAGGTAGGGAAGGTTCTAGCATTATCCACACGTGAGTAACTGAAGCTATGATTGGTGTCCTTCATCATGACTGCTCAAGAACTGTAATGGGCATAACAGATTAAGAACCTGACAAGCTGAAAATGCTTGACAAAATCAAAATTTAAGGAAGCTACTTTAGGAGTTAAAAGCCCCATGTGTTAGAAATACTTTCTGTTTTCACTACACACCGCCCTCCCCACCTCCACTCCTGAAGACTCCATGCAAAATACTAATACTGAAATGACTACTAGTCATGATAATAAATTTCAAAATACGCACTGACACAAACACACTGTTTACCGAAACAGACATCCTCACCACCCTGCTAATGATGGCAAAGTTTCCAAAAGAAATGGAGCAGGGAAAAAATTTAATCCATCCACCTTGGCACTAATTAACAGCTCTGAACAACCCTATGTTAATGTAGTAATGAGTACAGTCTTTGAATCTCAGTCACATTTGGTCTTCCCTTGTCCCCCGTTAATGTTCGAAGATGTGATAAATAGCAAATGACTTAGGTAACCACTCCTACTCTGGGGCCATAGTGATATCCAGTAGTAATATACATGTAGGCATTGGGAGACAGGAGAAGAATGATGATACACTAGGTAGCAAGATGAGCGTTGCCCTCTGTAAGGTGCACACATGGAATCGATTTTTTAGCAAGAGTTAGGAGGTTCCTTCCTGATTCTGTGTTATCAGCACCAACTAGGAAGAGGGTGTGCACTTGTGGGTATGGTGCTTAGACATTTCTAAAGTTTTCTCTTCCTGAAGTTGACGGATCTTGGTGGAGAATCAGACTCTGCAACCTTGGCCTTGATAATATCATGGCAAACTAACTGGACAATTGTCCTAAACTAGAAATGAATCTATCCTCAGGACCACAGTGAGTCTGCCATTAGACTCTCGACTTTTAGACAGTTAAGAAAAGGAAGAATGAAGCAATTGTGAGAGTAGCTTTCTTCCAGGGAGCACACCTACCCCGAGTGAGAAGACCTAGTTCTTTCCTAATATGTGTGCAAGAGCCCACCTGTTTGTGTTTTGATTGTTTCAGGCCTTTTCTTGCTAGAATTAAGAGCTAGCACCTTGTCTAAAACAAGCAACATGGGTATGTGTATTTCTGTCCAGGAAGCTAATAGGATTTAGGATGGTCTATAGCCAGACCCTGTCAGTTTGTGGTACTTTGCAAAAAAAAAAGCACTCACACAAAATAAGTTCCAGATGATAGAAGGGAGCTTTATCTTCATTTCCACCACAGGCTAAGCTCTGCTTTTATGCCTCTAAGTTTTAGCGGGAGAAAATCCAAGCACCTGCTCCTGCGTGTGCAAGTCAATGGAGAGTCAGAGCCGAGCTCCGTGTGGGTCGCAGTTTGGGTATCTGTGAAGGAAGTGGGGGCTGAACTGAATTTTTTAACTACATATTTTCTCTGGAATATTTCCAATAAATATTTTCTATAATATATATACATATTTTTTTATCTCCATAAGGACTTTCTTAGAAATATCCAAGGAAGTATATTTTTATCCGATCTCTATGACAAATGGCTCAGTGTTATTGATCACGGCAACAAAGAGGAGAAGATAACTGCAGCCCAGAGGTAATGATGCCATAATTACTCTACTCTGGTCACATCTCCAAAATACACCCAACATACTATCAGGAAAACATTGGCTTACGTTTTGCAGCTTTGCCTACTAAAATCATGACCAACGCCAAAGAGTTTCAATTCTTCACACCCATGGGGTCCAGCTTCAGAATAGAGGCATGCTTTAGGGCTATTATTGTTCTTCTCCTGATCTTATTAATGTGGACTCCTTGGCCATTTTACCCCTTCTGGATCCATGAAACTGGTAGACGAAATTCCCTGGTCCAAGACAGATGCTAGAGCATTGACTTCCAGGGCTATGACCTTAAAAGTCTGTGAAACATTTAACTAAGCAGAGAAGTTGTTATCTGGCTCAGGAACTGAATTCAGTGCAACAATTTTGTATACCTTCATGCCTGGAACTCTGCTAGAGCGGGTTGTGTGCTAGATATACAAGGATGTATCCTGTTCCCTGTCTCTGTTTTTCCAACCTCTTAAGTGGGATCACTTGCCTAATTTAAAAGTGTGTTTTTCTGACCTTAGGCTTTTAGCCCAGCTGCCAAGAGCAAATGTTGTTCTCTTGCGATACCTTTTTGGAGTGCTATACAACATTGAGCTACATTCCTCATCCAATCAGATGACAGCTTATAATTTATCCGTTTGTATAGCCCCAAGTGTTCTTTACCCACCTGATTCCGGCAGCTTGGAATTGGAAGACAACTTGATAAGAAAGGTAATGAGAGCTCTCATTTTTGTCCCCCAGGGGGTAGAATCCCTACTTTGAACCAGACAAGTGCAGTAGTAACTCTGACGGATGGAACTTTGTGAAGTGCACATTTTCATTAGGCCCCTGTGGAGTGGCAGAGTTCTTTATCCTACTCTGGCGGGGTCTGGGAAGGGGTGTCGTTAAACGGGAAACTCGGAGCAGTCGAGTCACTTCTTCCCCCTCCAGGAGACTAAACACTAGACTGACTAAACGAGAGAGAGAAGAGTCGTGTGATACGATAGGAAAGAACCTGGGCTTTGGAACTTCACCAGTCAAGGTTCAACTCTCAGCCTAATCCCTGAGGGACTCGTAACCTTGGGCAAAGCCATGGTTTCCTCACTACACAATGGCGACAACAGCCAGCTCCTCCGGTCATCACTGGCACATCCTGGGTGGCTTGGGCAATATGAGCCCCCATGCCTCCAAACACATTGGCCTTCCTCTGCCAATTGTGGCTCATCTAGAAAAGTACTCAGCTACTATTTCACCTCTGCTACGTCATATGGAAACTAGCAAGAGATTCCAGAATATCCTAATAAGATGACAGGTCTTCCCCAAGCTCACCCAGAGAGAGCCAGCATGAGGCAAAGCAATGCGTGAGAAGGGACTGAAGTTAGACAGACAGATACGTTTTCTCTCCAGCTGTGTGGGTTTTCCCTCACAACCCCACCAAAATCCCTGCTTCCCAACTTTATGATACTTCTTCATTTAAGAAATGGTTTTCTTAAGTTGTCGTTCATACTTTATAAAGTTTCATAAGATGGTATACATCAGTTACAGCTCAGTAAAACTGGAAACAAAATTTAAAAGCAAAAAATAAATAAACTTTAATAAGGTAGGCTACTTTGAAAATTATCCTAGTTTTATTTATTTTTTTGATATGTATTTATTTGAGAGAGGGAAAGAGAGACTGTGAGAGGGGCAGGGGCAGAAGAAGAGGGAGAGGGAGAGGGAGAAGCCCAAGCCGATTCCCTGCTGAGCACGGAGCCCAAAGGTGGCTCCATGTGGAGCTGGATCTCACCACCATGAGATTGTGATCTGAGCCGAAATCAAGAGTCAGACGCTCAACTGAGGGGCCCCCAAATTTATCCTAGGCTTAAAGATGTAACCACTGATCCCAAAATGTTAGCTCTTAACCTAGGCCATGCATTATAACTTTAGCCCACGGATGAGCAGTATTTTAAAATGTATACCCAAAGTACACGGGAAAGTATCACTCTTTCTAAGTTATTTCTGAGAGAACTCTGGTTTCTATGTGTTTTTGTTTTTTTGGTTTTTTCTTAAGCTTTTATTTATTTACTTGACTGAGAGAGACACAGCGAGAGAGGGAACACAAGCAGGGGGAGTGGGAGAGGGAGAAGCAGGGTTCCCGCTGAGCAGGGAGCGTGATGTAGGGCTGATCCCAGCACCCTGCTTTCATGACCTGAGCCGAAGGCAGACGCTTTACCGACTGAGCCACCCAGGTGCCCCTGGTTTCTACGTATTTTTATCAAGTCTGAATTTTACTGGGAAGTCCTTCCCATTTTTTCTTAGATCCAAGGTCTGTATAGAAAATGTGATTTATAACTATGCCCTATGGAAAAGAGCACCCCATTCTTGTCTTTTTGTGTTACAGATATGTCTTGTACAATTTCTCATTGAAAATTGCCTCAGGATATTTGGAGAAGACATCACTTCCCTCTTGGGCGAGAACTCAATGAGTCGTGGTAACAGCGAGAAGGCTGCAGGTACCGGGAGTAATTTAATTGGCTTTAGTGAGAAGCAGACAGCAAGGTTGCCAGGGGTCATGGGAGATGCTTAGACAGAGCTGTTCTGGAGCCCAGAGCATCGCCAGGGCAAGGATTTCCATGGGCTCCTTCTTCCGAAGGCTGGCTCACAGGTCAAGGGAGGTTCCACACTGTTGTGAGACCAAAGAAAGGATAAGATGAGGTCTCTAACTTCAAGAAGTTTCTAGTGTAGATCATAAGGGCATTAGGACTCATCATGGTATGCTACAGTGTTTGGGAATTTCTCTAACCAAATTTGAATGGGTGCCATATATATATGTCATATCATACATATATGTTTAGTTATATATATAATATATAATTAGAAATTTAGAATATCTAATTTTTAAACACAATGTATATACTTATGTATATTAGATGTGCTCTGGTTGAAGCCAGAGCAAGTGGCCTTTCTTCCCCTCCCTCCTCTTTTGGCTCAGGGGCTCTTGAGGCACCACAGGATTCCAGTGTCCTTTGAACTGGGTTGAAAAGAACTGGCATCAGTTCTTTCTCTCTAAAATTGTGGATAAAAATATTGTCTAAATCTTAGAATTGTTGTAAAGATTAAATAAGGTGATGGATGTAAAATAAATTTCAAAAAAAAGCCATTAATAGGACTAGGAGAAGTGCCCCTGAGACTAGAGCTAGTATATTTGAGCCTAGCTAATCACAGCTAACTCGTAGCAGTCCACCTTATAATAGACTTTCGATTCAGAACTTGGAGACACATCTCATCAATCCCTCTATATTTTTGACATTTCTTGGTTTTATGACGGTTTTGTCATTGCTTTGAGGAAATCTTTAGGAAAATACATGTCATCAGGAATTAAGATAAATCTAGTGTAATGTCTGAGAATATGCTTATATAAGACAACTGTTTATTTTTCATTTCAGTAGTGTCAGGAAATCCACCTCTTGAATCCAAGCCAGTGAGAGTGAGAGTGATTTACAAAAAGGCACAACTGCAGAATGATACGAAGACCCCATCTGGCATGGTTCCACCCAGCTACCTGTCTACAGTTTTCTAAGTCACTGAAGAGTACCATCTACATAATGACACTTGACTCTTCCGTTTTCTTTAGTTCCTATAAAATAGAAAATAAAATGAACTGTTTTTCCAATGAATGAAAAATGAGCCCCTTCCAAGGAACTTGCTCATCCCATTAGAATTTTTCTTTTGCCTCATCTCATATTATCCATATTGAGGAAATCTTCCCACAAAGTATCTCCTCTGTCTTCAATACCTACCATCTCATATTATGTACTTTGTTGCATTGTAGTGTATTGCATATTTTTATACTGATGCAATAAAAGTAATTCCATCACTCAGTGGGTTAGACAACCATTTTACTTGTTTATGATTCATATCAACACTTCAGTGGAGGCTCATCTGAGCAGTTCTGGTCTCAGCTGAGGTCACTTGAGCACCTGCAGTCAGCTGGCAGCTCATCTGGAGCTAACCTAGGAGTCTGTTTATTGGTGTTGGCTCTCAGCTGGTCCCCATGTCTTCAACGAGCTAGCCTGTCCTGCATATGGTGGAGGAAGAGTTGCCAGAAGCAAGAAAGGCTTTTCAAGAGTTAATGTGGGAGAGGACTGTGCAAAGCACCATGCCAAAGACAGTGATTTACAAGACAAGGAGGCATTCATTATTTATTAAGACCACACATGATAATCAAAGCTCAAGGCAGCACCACTACTACACACATCCTTTTATTCATCGGCTTTTAATCCTCAGTGGATTATAATCAGCATTTCCTAAAAGGCATTCAAAGTGTGGTAGGAAGTATCTTTGAAATAGTAACTGATTTTTTACCTCAGGTATTCTTTGCCTCTATCCTTGTCCCGGTCTTAAGCTGTCTTACGGACAACTAAATCACTTCCTCAGGGAATAGAAGCTATAGGAGAATATGAGGAAAAGGGAGCCCTTTGTTGCTTATGAGTTTTAAAAATTTAGCTTTCTAGGAAACAAAACTTACTCATGGCATAGAGTAGAAGATTTAGGTGGAAATCTCATGGGAAAAGCCCAAAATCATTAGGTACATGGGACATCTGCCCCTTTTCCTGGATAGAAGCCAAAAGAAAGCAGGAAGGCCTCACAGAATAGCTAATTGACTTGTCTAAGAAAGACGGGGCCCCTGTGGGTCCACATAGAGTTTCTTATACCTCAGCATGGAACAGATCAGTAAGAAAAGTATTCCCATCAATTCCAGAATAGTATGGAAGAACTACAGAGAGCCACCAGGTTTGAAAGACATGTCTCAACAACAGTAGTACTGACCAATTCCCCAGGACCAGAGAACAGTGAGGACATCTCAGCAGATGCTAGTATACATCAATGACCCAAAGCAGCAGATAAGTGCCACCTCGCCATTTCATAGCCTTCTAACTCCCTGGCACTAGAAGACTCCAGAACATAGACACACTCCTGGGGGAAATTAAGAGATCCTGAATTTCTACCAATCTGGGAACAGAGAATCAAACTAGACACCAAGCGAGCTATTTAAAAACACAGAATTGGACATTTATTACATATGTCAATGTATACATTGAGGTTGGTATCAATATATATAGAATATATGATCCAAGCACAGTTTTCCTAGAAAGGGTTCCCTGGTCAAATAGGTTAGGGAAATTCTGTATTTTCCTTTTGAAGTCAAATGCTCCAGTTTTTTCCACACTTATTTGACATTGCTTGGCCCTTTTGGAGTAACCCCATTAATTAATGATCCTGGGAACATACATTAATAAACATCGCTCTGAATTTATTTCTTCTTAACTCACAGATTTTACCATTTCACTCACCTGCTAAGAAGCCATCAATAGATCTTTGAATTTTTTTTTTTCAGAAAAAAATGTCCTTTTTTAGATCCTCCACAATGCAACCTGCTCTAGTAATCAATTTTGTCTTCACTCTTTCCCATTGTAGATCCTTTGCTTTAGCTAGGTCAGAAACGGTACTGGCCCCTGAATAAGTCACACTCACTTTTCTAACTATAATCCTCACCTCTCCTTGGTCTCTACGTTTCCACCCACTAACTAGGTAGCCATCTGGGTTCTCCACTCCCAGAATTTCACAAAGCCTTCCTGATCTCAAATTAATTGTTCTTTACATGAGCGCTTGCCCCTACTAGACATTGGCTCGTATGCTGCTTTGCACCGTCGGGAATTATGCCAGTGTGTTCATACATTATTCAGCAAATCCAAATTCCTGTGGTAAACAACTGTATCTTGTGTTAGTTTTATATTACTTTTAATGCCTGGCTAAATTTCTACTCAAAAAAATATGAATGAATATGTTCAATTTTCGAAGGGTGTAGAGATTTTATACACATTGGTAGCAACTGCAAGTTTTAAAACTGAAGAGGTAGAATACAGCACATATGGAATTTCAATGGGTGGCAATAAGACATCATCAGTTTGACCAATTTTTTTAGATATGACTTCACAGCCTTATTCACAAGTTCTGGGATATATTATTTTTATTCATTATGTAAAAAATCTGATATCGGTGTGATGCATTTGGGAATAATTGCATTTTTGTATTAAATTTCTTCTAAATATCAACAATCCAGAATAAAAGGGGCAAAAAAACATGGCTGGGCAATGCATCTGTGAGTTTTTAAGCCAAGGAAGATATTAAAAAAAAAAAAATTGAAAAGAAGAGGAGCTAGAAATACCAGAAGGTAAAGAAAAGCTGAAATTGAACTTATTTGTCAATGGCAACTCAAGAGATTCCTGACCTAGGAAAATGGTTAATAAATGTTAGTATTTCCTTCAGGAGACTCAAGCATAATGTCTCCTTGAGAATAACAATTTATTTCTTAAATTTGAGGAAAAGATCCTAGGAACTCTGATAAACTGTAAAAGAACTTAATTGCCTAATCTAGAATGAATAAAAGGCAATTAGACATTCTGATATTGGCCTTTACCGTACCTGGGAGTAAGATGTGTGTAGTCATCAGTCAATCTGCACTTAGTGATGTAGTTAAGGTTAAACATCTCCAGAAGTAAAATAAAGGTACTTAGAATGACTCTCCTATTTTATTCCAGAAAGAAAGCGACTCACAGGCTACCAATATCAGCAAATTAATATCATGGATGGTTGGGATTAATTACCATGATAAATTAAGTGGGATATATATATAATCACTCAATGTTTATTCCACAAAAGCAACATGTAAGAATTTGGTGAATGGAATATATATTAGTACAAGAAGCCACTTCTTTTCAGAGAGCACTGAACGATGCCTTTTATATTTTTCTGTAATTCTTTCTATGCTTAAGCCGAATGGGCCAGTAATACTCTGAAGATTTATAGTGGATGGTGACTCTATTTTCCAGTTTTGTTTTGTTTTACTTACCCACAACATAATTGGTGCTAAGAAAAAATTGGCTTCCTTATGGTCCTTGGCCTAAATGTCAGTATTAATTTAGTTGGCTTAATCTTTAAAAAATGGTATCATTCCTTTGTCAAATAAAAGAAACAACTAGAAAACCAAACTGTCAAAGGAAAGTTGTAATTTCCTAAAATGGAAAAAGCGAAACTGCTTTGTAAGAATGGGAGTTTTTCCAAAATGTAAAAATATAAAACTAGTTGGGAAAGAAAAAACAAAACAACACCGTCTTCAGGATAGTGATTACCTCTGTGGAAGGAAAGAATGGGATTGAGTAAAGGGGGTAAAAAGAAACTCCAAGCACACATATATTAATTTAATTTCTTGAAAGATTTAAAAATGCTAACATTTCACCACGTGCTTTACACTTCTTAAGAAAATGTTAGAGGTGACTTTATTACATAAATATCCACAACATACCCATGCATACACACACACACACACAATTTGTATATATAAACATACAAAACATTGTTAAATGAATAAGTAAACTACAGAAATTCTTATCATTCAGCAATTTTATCTTTTTACCATAGGTTTTGTGATTCCTCTGTATGGATGACCTGGTTCACTCCGTCTAGTATTCCATTATATGATAATGCATTTATGTGTGTACACATCTACCTTGATCAAACTTTCTAGAGGCTTGCCTAGTTTATTAGCTTTCAAAGAAATAGATTTTAAAAATCATCTCCATTAATGTTTTTTCCTAGGTTATTAATTTGTGTTTTGCTTTTACCATTCTATTGCTTCAACTTTCTTACTGTTTTCACTTCTTCATCTAGCTTCTTGGATTAAATGCTAGCTCATTTAAATTTAGTAAATATATTTAATAAGACTATTCATAACTTCTAAGTACTGCTTTATCTATATCTCACAAATTTTTCATATTTTAGTTTGTTGATAAAACCATTACAGTTTATGATTCTCTTTGTGAAGTATTTTTTCACTTACTCATTGTTTAAGCTTTTGTTTTTTTCAGATTTTCTAACCTATAGGATTTTAATTACTAGTGGTAGTAGTTAATTTCTAAATAAATTACATAGTAATTAGATAATATGGTTTGAATAACTATGACTTTTTGTGACTGAGAGTATACAGTTAATTTTATACATATCTAATGTGTTGCATGCATGCTTTAGGAGAATGTGTATCCTCTGTTGTGTTGTCTTTTGGGTGCAGGCATATGTAAATTCACAATTATGTCCTATGCGTTCCTCAGATTCTCTGTATATTCTCCAAATATGTGGTTTCTGAAAGAGGTGTTAAATTTTGCCATTATGCTTACATGAGCTTTTCAATTTTATTTTGTAATTCTGAATTTTTGTAGTTGTTGGCTTTTGGTGTTTTAGAGTTTAACTCTATATTGTTAGGCAAATACAAATTTATCACTTCTATAGCCTTTTCATGAAGTATAGCTTATTTGCTTTATTCACATTAATGTGTTGACTTCATATTCTATTTTGACAGATATTGTTGCACCAGCTCTTTTTTGGTTCATATATGCTTAGTATATTTCTTTTTTTTCCTTTTTATATTTTCTGTTTCAGAGTGTGTTTGTGTGCATGTGTGTATAGCAGTGTGCCTTATAAGCAGCATATAACTGATTTTTTTATATCCATGCTGATAATTTCTGATTTTTAATAGAGTGATTTAATCTATTTACATTTATTGTCGTTACAATGTACTTTGAGTTACACTGACCACCTTATTTTGTATTTTTCTTTCATCAGAGATTTCTCCTGGTTTCTTTTTTCTTCCTTTCCTAATTTTTATGTGTGTACACATCTACCTTGATCAAACTTTCTAGAGGCTTGCCTAGTTTATTCATGCAGGCTAATTTTTGTTGGATTGATAATTAAAGTTTAGTATTTTCTCTATCAATTTTTATTTATATATATTAAAATTTCTCAGCTATTATATCTTTGACTAATTTGCTGCACTATCCCTCTATTATCTTTTACTAGAATCCACTAAAATTTTATGAAACGGTGATTCTCAAAGGACACTCCATATAAACAACTCTTTCAATTTTTCTCTTTATACTGCATCCTGAGTAAAATTCTCAGTTCTTTCTTCCAGTTTATTAATTCTTTAACTTTGGACATTCTAGAGTTAATTCTTTTAGTTTCATGTCTTTTTTTCACGCCTATATGTTTTCTGGGATTACTAATCAGATCTTTTTCCTATTCATATAATTTTATATTTTTTCAATAAAGATCATTTCAGGGGCGCCTGGGTGGCTCACCGGGCTGAGGATACGATTCTTGATTTTGGCTCAGGTCATGATCTCAGGATCCTGAGATGTATCCCCGACTGAGGCTCCCCGCTCAGCAGGTAGTCTGCTTGAGATTCTCTCTCTCTCCCTCTGCTCCTCCCTGCTCTCTCTCACTCGTGGGCTCTCTCTCTCAAATAAATAAATAAATAATCTTTAAAAAAAAAATAAACATCATTTCATTCATTTTCCTCTCTGATTTTGGTACCAAGAAGGAGGATGCTGCTGTGACAAATACCTAAAAATGTCAAAGCAGCTTTAGAATTGGGGAAGGGGTAGAGGTTGGAGGAGTTTTGAGGGGCATGCTGGGAAAAGTCCACATTGCTGTGAAGGGACTGTTGGTAGAAATAATAGATGTTGAAGGTGATTCTGGTAAGTGTTCAGAAATAAAAGCGAGAGCTTCAGGGATAGACTCTATCTTCTTAGAGAGTATGTAACTAATCAGAAACAGAATGTTAGAAATATGGATGTTGAACATCTTTCTGGTGAGATCTCAGATGGAAATGAAGAACATGCTGTTGGAAACTGTAAGAAAGGAGATCCTTGTTATGAAATAGCAAAGAACTTGGCTTAACTAGTGTTCTAGTGTTTTCTGGAAGGTCGAACTTGCAAGCTATAAGATTGGGTATTTACCTGAGGAGATTTCTCAGGGAAGTTTTAAAGGAGTTTGTTTCTTCCTGATTGCTCATAGTAAAATGCAAGAAGAGAGAAATGAGTTGAGGCAGGTATTAAGCAAAAGGAAATCAGGACTTGAAGATGTGGAAAATTCTCAAGTTTTCCAAAATCAGTTTGTCATTTCTACTCTAACACATGTGCTCATGCTGTTGCTGCCCCTAGATGGTTCCTCCTGTTCTCTTCCTGTCCAAATCCAACCTATAGAGTGTCAGCTTCCCAACAAAGTCTGTCTTGATTTGTTCAGTCATGTTGGCATTTTCTCTTGTGAATTTCTATAGCCTTGTAATCATTTTCGTGTAATGTTTGTGACAGGTAGTCTTTAAGGCACATCTTTTCTTTTTTTTTTTAATTTTACATTTTCTGAAACTGAAGTACCCCCCTGTCTGTGTATATATGTTTTTTTTTTTTTTTAGCAATTCTCTGTCCGCCCTCAAATGCTTTTAAATGGATAACACATGCATAATCCATGGATTCTAGAAAATGAGGAAGTAGGAAACTTGACTTCGCAATTGTTCTCAGGTGGTCCTCCATGGCACCTTCCAGAGCCACCAAGAGCAGGGCTAACGCAGTGGGAAAGTTAAGTAAACCAGTGGAGCCCTGCTCTGGTCACTCTTACAACCTTGAACAAGCAGCTCACCTCTTACTTTCTTTCTTTCTTTCTTTTTTTTTTGTACTTTTTGACTTTATTATTTTATTTATGGGTCTGAGGCAAAAGGTTTTGTGAACCTGAAAATATTGGTATAAATATGTAGTATGTTTTAGATTTGTCTCTCTCATTAGAACACAGGCTTCTGCACCCAAAGGGACTAGCGCAGTTATAGCTAGATAATTGGGTCAGCTTGTTCTTGATTGGTTTGTGTGCAAACATCAGACTACATCCACAGTGAGCATTCCTCTTAATCTTTTCAAACAACTGTGTGCCAATCTCCTAAATGTTAGTTTCTTTCTGTGTCTTAATTTTCTTAAAAAAGTGGTGTCTTAGGCCTCCCAGAATGAACATGAATTATTGCTCTAGTATTTATACACAGCAAGTTTTAGATTTCTTTCCAAAACACATGCATGGGTTTTAAGGAAATCTGTAAATGGCTATAATTTAAGATCAGAAAGTATTACCCTTAAGATAATATTAGAATTTGGAAGGAAAAAAACACAACTTTTATTTAGGAACTTGTTATCTCGAACATAGAATTCTGTTCCTGCAGAATTTCAAGTTATATACTTAGTTTGGATGCAAGAAGCAAATGTTGGAAAACTAGAAGTAGGTGAAGTTTGAAAAGACTACACAGGGAATGAATTACATTATCTACTTTCCCCCTTTTATTTGGGGGGGGTGAGAGAGAAAACAAGCATACACTTTATTGTAAGAAACTGGCTCACTTGGGGTGCCTGGATGGCTCAGTCAGTTTAGCATCCAACTCTTGATTTCGGTGCAGGTCATGAGATTGAGCCCCACATCAGGCTCCATGCTCAGTGTTGAGTCTGCTTGAGATTCTCTCCCTTCCCCCTGCTTGCATGTTCTATTAATTAATTAATTAATTAATTAATTAATTAATTAAAATCTTAAAAAAGTAATGGGCTCACACAATTGTGGAGGCTGGCAAGTCTGAAATCTGTAGGGCACGCTGGCAGGCTTGAAATTCAGGTAAGAGTTGATGTTACAATCTTGAGCCCAAATTCCAGGCTGGTCAGATAAATGAGAAATTTAGGCAAGGTTTCTATTTTGCAGTCTTGAGGCTGTATTTCTTCTCCTATGGAAAACTGGTCTTTGCTCTTAAAGCCTTCAACTGATTAGATGGGGCCCCCACACACTAAGGAATGTAATCTGCTTTACTCAAAGCCTACTAATTTAAATGTTAATCACACCTAAAAAATACATTCACAGCAACATCTAGACTAGTGTTTGGCCAAACTATTGGGCACCATAGCATAGCCAAGTTAACATATAAAATTAACCATCACAGTGACTCATTACCTATTAGGCTCTGTTTTCTGACATCTTTTCTTCACTCAGCTCTACTTAGTTTCACCTTAATCCACCAAATAAAATGCAACATGATTTCAGCCTTGTAAGGGTCTCCAATTTGCTAAAGACCTGAAATCCCCGAACTAATCAAGATTTCAGAGAGCTGTCTAGATGACACAGCCACAAAGACCAAATCTCCAGGAGCTTTGTGTGTCAGAGGTTTTCCTGCATGGTAGGTTTGGTGGAAGAGACAATGAGTGAAAGAAGTGGATTATGTGAGGCAGGTTGAGCTCAAAATGTTAACACAGATTTGTCCCTGAATTGACCTTATGGATGGTGTATCACTTGTGTCATTATTTCTAGAAGTAAATTTTCATGAAGTCTTTAAAGGAGTACCTTGATACATATGTCAAGACTGATGAAGTGTGGGTAAGTAAAGGTGGATCTGAACTGCTCTTTCCTGCTGCATTTGGAATCTCAGTGGTCATCTCCTGGATTTGTTTAGAGCAGAACTGATACAGCACATTTCGAGCTCTCAAAATGACATTTGAATGCATTCAAATGAATGCAAGTAGCTGTATAAAGTAAGCACTAAAAAATGAGATTAACCACTGCTAGGCTTCATGAGCCCTAGCATGTTTTTCTTCTAGCACCGTGGTAATACTAAAACTTACTTGTAGAGGTCTTGGCAGTTTAAAAGCAGCACATTTGTATTTCCACATTTGACTCTCCCTCCAAATAGCATGATGGTGGGAGGGGGGAACGCCTGGATGGCTCAGTCGTTAAGCATCTGCCTTCGGCTCAGGTCATAATCTCGGGGTCCTGGGATCGAGTCCTGCATTGGGCTCCCTGCTCGGCGGGGAGCCTGCTTCTCCCTCTCCCTCTGCT